TTCAAAGAGCCAAGTACCATAGCTTTTCAGGTGTCTGTAGAATGTAGGCCTGAAGTGGTAGTGGTGGTGGTGGTGGTGGTGATGATGATGATGATGATGATGATGATGATGATGATGATGATAATGATGATGATGATGATAAAAATAATAATGGGACCTAAGTCCCTAAGAAGGTAGCCTGGGAATGTCAGTGGAGAAGGCAGGGGAATGAAAGATATTGGATGTACATATATAAGACATCATAATGCAACTTGTCAGATTCAGACAAAGTATTGAGGAGAGAAGAGAGCATGGAACTACATTGCAACAGGTTACCTTTATCAAAAATGTACTGTATGTGTGCATCTATGGAATTGTCCCAGCAAAACCCTCTCATATTCTTAATGCATGCTACTTCAAAAGCAAAATTAAAAATAAAAGGGAAAGCTTTTCCCATTTTTGGTGAGTCAAGAAGATTAGGGATTTAAGTGAAGGAATTGTTGAGAAACTGTTGAAATCATGTTGAACATTTAAATATTAACTCAATCTAATTATTTTCCAAACATTTGTTTAACTGCTTTGGAGATGGGGAGAACACTGGGATTGTTGGAATGACTAAAATTGCCCAAGCTGTCTGTCTTACTCTAAAATGCAGGAAATACCAGGAGAGCACTTACTGCAAAGGAAAGCCTGGCCCTCTCTCTAATCTTGGCAACTGTAATCTCTTCAATCTGCTAGGTAGCTGAGCATGAATTTGCCCTTCAGCTCATTGGAGTTTTGGCAGAAATCTGTACAGATTTGACTTCCACTGTAAGGAAGTGGAGAAGTTTACAGTTAGAACTCTATTCTTTCCTTCCCACAATCCTTTCCCATCTTTTCTTTCCATGACATTCATGGTTTAAAGCTATGGTTTTATTCAAGTCCTTGTTCCCATGTTTTAGGCTTTTATTGAGAATACAAGTTGCAGATGTGTATTATTAGATGTATTTGACATTTTATACATAGACTCCCATGTTCCATTAACATGAGATTCCATGTTCAGACCCGTGATGACCTGTTTTGCAGTGGTTCTCAAATGTTCCTACTTATCTTCTTGAAAATCAGAACTAAATAAGAATGATCACTTAAATAACAGTCTTCACTCCAGCTTAACCTACAATAGTTGTTTTCTTCTTGGATAATTTCTAGGCAGAACCTTCAACTTGGAAGATAAATGATAGTATTTATTATACTTTCTTTGTGGGCTCTTTAGATTAGATGGTGACCATATGTATTGTTTTCCATGATACTATTTGTGTTGTTTAAAAACACCTTCAGTAATTTTTATGTAAATTATTCAAGAACCAAACCAAGCCACATAGATTCTCTCTGACCCTTTTAAGATTCAGATTTTTTTTCTTGATAACTTTAAAATTATATCATTCTCCTTTTCACCATCTAGTGAAGCTATTCTGGCTCATACTTTTTCTTTTTGTTGTATGTGTATATGTGCACATAAAATATAACTTTATTCTCTTTCACTTATTTTGTTTTAACACTTTTAGAATTATTGTAATTATTCTCATTCTTATATCCTTGTTCTTAGGCCTTTCTCGGATGAATAAATCTAGACACTTTTATCTTTTCACTTTCAAATTTTAATTTATTATTTTTTTTCTTTTGGAATAGCTTCAATCTTTCCTTCTTTTAAATCCCTTTGTTCCCTTCTTTATACTCATTTTTACAATATGTAGTGAAGGCATAATATGTACTAGGCAATGCAGGATACTGGTGATAGGGACAAAAGTAATTAGGCAATACTTAAAATAAAACATGATGAGAATATGATATGAAGAAAGGCTTAGAATTACTACTACTACTATTATTATTATTATTTTATAATTACATATTTTTTTGCCAGTCTTGGGCTTCAACTCTGGGCCTCAACACTGTTCCAGAGTTCCTTTTGCTCTAGGGAACCACTGTACCACTTGAGCCACAGCACCACTTCCTGCTTTTTCTGTGATTAATTGGAAATAAGAGTCTCACTGACTTTTCTTCCAGGGGCTAGCTTCAAAACACAATCCTCAGATCGCAGCCTTCGAGTAAGTAGGATTACAGGCATGAGCCACTGGTGCCTGGCTAAGGCTTAACATTATTAAGGATATCTAAAAGCAGTGATACAGGCCTTAATCCAGACAGGGCTCCAGAAAAAATATTGTATAAAAGTTAAGCAAAAAGAAGGTGAATAAATTATCAAGCCATGTATAAATTCTGTCTGGGTATGGTTCAAATTTCTTTTCTGGGAGAAACTTTTTAAGCATACACAAATGAAGCATGTATAAATGGAAGAGAGAATGGAAAAACACATGTGCCTGGTAGTTTATGAACATTGCAAGGGGTTTTAGTATAAATGAATGTATATTTATGTTCTTTTCTGGGCATCTAGAGAAACTCTCCTGGTTTCTGGTGTTTATGTTTTATGATTTTTTTCCCTTGGCTCAAGAATACAACTTCCGTACTCTATTGCCATTAGAACTTTCAACACGTCATAATTCACAGTTCTGCCAGTAGATAATGGGTATTTCGTTATAGTTAGTGACTAACTTTAGGTGCCTGCTGAAAGTATGTAAATACATTTCCAAGTCTGACATAATGAGAATTGACAAGCATTTGCTCCTCTTCTAGAGGAGCAATATCAAAATGATATTGTAGTGTTTTATTGGCAAGCATTCTGTTTCAGGTACTTTTGGTAAAGTATGTTGCATGGTATAGATGTTCACATATGGCATTGTACTAAGCAAAGCAGTGTTATAATCTAGAAAGGATGTCAAGCTGGATTATTATTCAGAATTTCCTGTGGATGTAATATGAAGTGATTCTTGGTAATATGGGCTCCAGTTTCCATATTACACATGAGAAAATCAGAGAGGCAGTAAATGAAAGAGAAAATTCTAAATTGTAAATTTCTTTTTCTTTTGTGGGACAGAGTCTCCCTTTGTAACTCAGGCTGGCTTTGTGTTGATTTGTAGTGCCATGCTGGTCTGAAATAGGCAATATTCTTGCTTCAGTCTCCAAGCGCTAGTATTATAAGCATGAGCGGGTACATACTAAATATTGGATAATTTTGCATTTGTTCTAATTTTAGGCACTTTGGATAATAGTCGTTCTATCCACTTACCAATTCTGTTGCCTACATAATTAATGTCATCAATGTTTTCCATTAACTAGCATATTTGGTGTACAGATTATTTAAAAACTAAAAATGAAAAAAGAAAAAGGAAAAATTTTCAGTTGAGATATATAGATACATAATATTTTGTGGGGATATGTATAGATGTCTGTATGCACAAGTGTGCATATGGTTCTAAGAATATTTGTGCATATAAATGTGCATATTCATTCCATATATAAGCACATGTGCACATGGCACATGTGCACATATGTGTGTATATCTGTGTGTGCTTTTGTTTTCTTTTCCATTTGCACAACCAAAGCCAAAAGGTAAGGAATTCTAGAGGAAGAAAGTGGAGATTCTCTTTAATTACATGTATCTAATGGGTCACAAAACACATCAATCACCATCGTTTTGTGAGCTCTTTCTTACATATCTTTAACTCACAGTTCATCTTGCTAGAGAATATTTTGTTTCAGAAACAAGTTAATCTAAGCAAACATTTATCAGTTTCCTATTGTCAAAAAACAATGAAATATCATTATTCTAGTCTACAAATAAAATATTTATGACCATCAAGATTGGACTGAGTAATTCTTTTGACATCTTCCAGTTACAGAGGAAGTAGTTACCTGCTGGTATTTCAAATACTTGAAGACAGAGGCAATAAGACCATGAGCTTCATATGAGCAGGGCAGGAGGGGAGTGGAAGAACAGGGAAAGTAGGGGAGGGGAGAGGAAATAAAGGAGAGGAGAGGATCTTTTAGTTAATAGGTAGTATGACGGGGACTGGGAAGGTGGCTCAGTGGTAGAGTGCTTGCCTTGCATGCTCGAGGCCCTGGGTTTGATTCCTCAGTACCACATAAGCAAAAAGAAAAAAGCCAGAAGTGGCGCTATGGCTCAAGTGGTAGAGTGCTAGCCTTGAGCTGAAGAGCTGAGGGACAGTGCCCAGGCCCAGAGTTCAGGACCCACGACTAGACTCCTCCCCCCCCAAAAAAAAGGTAGTATGACGGATATCAGAAATTTTTCAGCCACATCAGTGCTCCAGTCCCTTTACTTACTAGAAAAAGAAAAGGAAGAGGAAGAGAAAGAGGAAAAGGGAGAGGAAGAGGAGGAAGCACAAATATCTCAATTTTATGTTCACTATCTATTATTCACAATATTTAGCACAGTTATACATTATTGGTTTTGTTTTCAATGTTAATCTTCTGCAATATATATTATTCTACCTTTTAGCTTAAAAATGGAATCTCAAGAATGTTCTATTCCTTCTTTAGAGTTTATTCTCTTATAATCTTTCAGTAGTTTGTACAAAGAAGTTCCAAGTTAACATGTCAGTTTATGAATACAATGCATCTTTTATAGTCACAGAGAAATAAATAGACACTCCAATGTCTGTCTTTATACCACTGCACACAACAGACTCTTTGGCTGTTCCTCCTTTCCTATATTAAAAAAACAATCATGGATCCTGCATAATTTATTCAAATTTAATTTATTTCTTTAAGAAAAGTAGATTGAGAACAAAAAATTGAAATAAAAATAGTAAAAAGAACTGTGGCTCTGAACCATGGCACGTTGTTAACACAGAATTTGTTTCATGGAAACATGCAAATAGTGTTTCTGGACTGAAGTGAAAAAGTACAGAGTTAAAAGTTAATATCAAAACTGAAACAAAGCCATATTGTGGAGGCTCACATTAAGAGCAGGACACTGGATCCAAGGATGTGATCTCACTTCATAGTAAAACAGGTCCTGCAGCCCAGGTAACTCAGGAAGCAGAATGGTAATTATTCACAGAAGAGAGCAGGCAGTGTACTGTTTCAGTACTACAGTAGAAAGTCAGAAGGTCACAAAGCTTGCAGGGTAAATGACACAACCCGACACTGCTGGGCTTCGTTTACAAAGAAATAATAAGATGGGAGAGAATGAAGCCAGTTCACCTAACACATCTTTACAAGGTAAGCACCAACAGTCTCTGAAATGTTCACAATCAGAAATTAAAGCACTGTTGTAATTCTGTGTGTGTGTGTGTGTGTGTGAGAGAGAGAGAGAGAGAGAGAGAGAGAGAGAGCCCATCTGCGTTTCTGCGTGGGTACATACTATTCACGTGCATGTGCCCTGCCACTATTTTTAGGTGTTCTCTGAGGAGTGGAAAAGAGGTTGGAATTCTTGATCTAGAAAAAACAGCTTGTCTTAAAAAATAACCCAACCAACAGAATCACAAATGTGGCAGAAAGTAGAATTAAACCTTTTGCCCTCCAAAGTAATGCTGGGGAGATGGTGCAATCAACTGTCCGTGGATTTCCCATGTTGGACGTTTTCCATTGTTGCTTTAATACTGACTTTTTGGGGGGCTCTAGCTGTGAAATTTATATTTGTAAATAAGTGTTGCTATCTCTGGGCTTTACAAGCTAATTATGCCTGTGATTAATATCACTACACATTGAAGGGTAGAGAGAGCACAGGCTGGGGAACTTCTTAGTTGAGGTGGTGTGGTTTCTTTTACAGATCCCACTTCACCAGGTACCTTTGTCCTTTGAAGGGACTAGTTTGTTGACACTGGCCTCCCTAGGCATCCACATTTCAGCTTGTTGTTTGGAAAAAAAATACAAAGTTCCCTGTTGATGAGTGACGACATTTCTTTCTTAAAGAAAGAAAAATAGAAAATGGGGCAATGCTTAGCTATGGCCATAATTTCCAGAAGTCAGAACTCTTATGAACTATTTATATCCTTTATAAATAAAAATTGGGATCAAGGCCATTTTTAAATGTGCTTGGTAATGAGGAAGATATATACCTCATAATTACGACATTGTGTTCTCATGAATTATAGTGTACCACAAAGAAATGGCCCAGTTTCCCATTCAATTCAAAATTAAAAATACAATCACACTTTAAAAACCTGACACATGTGAGTAGCCATCTATAGACATATGTCATGGTCCCTAAAGTATTTCATCCTCTTGATATTTCTATTTCTTTCCTTAATCTTCACAGCACTGTTTTAAGAGTCTTATTTTTATTCCTGTATGTTTCTTACATCTTTTTAAAATATGATATAAAATATTTTTAAAATTCATTTAATAATTTTTTATGAAAGAAAAACCCTAAAAGAGGTAACACTGATCGAGATGCATTGTGTTCATAAACTGTTCAGTTATATGGCTGTGTCTATATATACATATATGTATACATATAAATATATGTACACATATGAGTACAATATACGTACATGTGTACATATATTTAAAGTTCATCCATGTAAAAAAGGAAAGAAAAAATTAAAACCAGAAAATAAAAGACTTACTTATCATAATTCTGAGAATAATTTGTGTCTTATGAACCAAATGATAGCATGCTCAATTGCAATATATCTTAATTATCTCTAGTAGTTTTTCCTGGGCAAAGCATGTGAGAAATATGTAGGTTGTTAGAATTGCATACATGATGATAGATTTGTATGAAAGATATGTGATTGTTTGCTAATATTGTGATTAACATGTCCCGTTACACATCTGTGTTTATGGACTGAAATAAAGCGAAGTATTACATAGATACATTTCCTCTTTACTTGCCATTCTTATTTTCTCATTTGGGCAATTTTATGCATATTACACTTCAGGTAATATGCTATACTGGGTAAAGACAGCTCTATCTCCTACTCATACCTATGTATAAAAAACAGTTATACACAGAATTATTAGCATATATCAGAAAGGCATGAACAGATTTAATTTAAAACAATTTTTTTTGGTCGGTCAAAGGGCTTGAATTCTGGGCCTGGGTGCTATCCCTCAGCTCTTCAGCTCAAGGTTAATACTCTACCACTTGAGCCACAGCGACACTTCCTGTTTTCTGGTTTATTGGAGATAAAAGTCTCATGGACTTTCCTGCCTGGGCTGGCTTTGAGCAGTGATCCTAAGATCTCAGCCTCCTGAGTACCTAGGATTACAGGCCAGTCTACAGCTTGTTGTGGATTTAAAATAATAGATTCTGATAGATATATTGAGTATTCCTCCAAAATATATTATTCAAATATTAAGAAATGTGTATCTTTCATTTAGTTATAGTATCTTCTAAACGTTCATTCTGAGCTGAATTGCCCAATAATCTGAAAACATTTTTCAATAAGGAGTTCATTTTCTTTCCTGATCTTTTCTGAGTTGAGATACATCCTAGGTAGATCCACAAATAGTTCAGAGCTGACCTCCATTCCAGATGAATTTGCAGTAAGATTCTTAATAGAACCTGTGAGTCAAATGAAGTTGAAGGCACTTCAATTGTTGATTTTAAATTTTGTTTAATATTTCTTTAAATCATAATGGAATTAAATATAATGGGGATAATTTGCAGCTGTATTTGTATGTGTGAATGTAAGATAATTTGATATGTTTTGTTACTAAATTATAAAACAAATCAAATATCCTGGACTTTTCCTTTTGAGAGTACCCAAACACTACTGGGCTGTCCGCAGAATATTCTGTCCTGTATCTGAGCCTGAGTTTCAAAATGATCAGTCAATCAAAAGGTCTTGAAATCTTTAGTTTCACCAGTGATGTAACTATTTTTTGTAAAAAGAAAAAAAAGGAAATTATCTGAAGATTGGTCATTAAGACTGTTCAAGTGAATATCCTTTGGTCAAAATTACAGTAAGACACATGTTCTGTTTTATATGTTAAATATATCGTTGACTGTCGAGTGATTTGGCAATGAAGATATTGTATTTTTGTTTGAATATCATCAAGAGTATCACAGGAATTCCATTGTGTGCTTTGAATACTGATTTTCTAATGTTACGCATAGATGCTATTTAAATTCACTCTGGTTGGCATTTAGAGGGTGTTGAATGTGTGGCTCACAAATTTATTTGTTGAAAACACTTCAGTGGGCCTGGAAGGTAGAGCTTCTAGAGAGGTATTTAGCTCATGAGCTTTAAATGGACTCATGAAAAGGGCTATTGGGAGTTGGGTTGCTCTCTCTTGCCCATCTGCTTTGTGCCATGTGAAGACACAGCTGTCTTTGAGATCTAATTTTTTCCCCCAGTGAAAGTGAAGTTGAACTAAGGTTATCTTCAACTTGATGTGAACATATCTCAATTATCTTTTCAAATGTCGAAAGCAAGCTCTTACTGGGCGATGGTAGCCCACTCTTAGAATCCTAGCTACTCCAGGAGGTTGAGATCTGAGGATCTTGGTTCAAAGCAGGCTTGGGCAGAAAAGTCTATGAGACTCTCATCTCTAGTTAACTACCAAAAAGCCAGAAGTAGAGTTGTGGTTCAGTGATAGAGTGCTAGACTTATGCACAAAAGCTCAGGGACTGCACCCAGGCCCCTGGACTAGTAAATAAATAAATATTTATGTAAATAAATAAATATTTATATAAATAAATAAATATTTCTCCATATATAAATGCATAAATAAATAAATAGGAAAAAGCAAGTTCTCTCAGTTTCCATGTAAAAGTAACCTCATAGAGAATTTAATATATTATACATGCAAGCTTATAAAAGTCTCACAATTATAAAATAAATTCTGGAGCATAGGATAGAATGCAAATAACTTTTCCTAATCTTTGAAAATATGAATCAAAGATAAATAATATGACATAGGGAATAGGGATAAGTACCATCTATGCATTATTTGCTGAGGAGAGGAAGAATTATCTCTTTGTATAACTTGTAAACTCTTGGTGCCCTACCATTTGGTTATAGTAGAGAAGGCCATGGCTTGACTGATGAAAGGGAGACCATTTCATCCTTTGCAGACAACAAACTTACTAGAACATGCTTTTCTTAGGCCACAGTTGGGCACATAAAGGATTTTTATCTCTTTTCTGCCAGGATGATAAGCATTTTCGATTCTTCCTGGTATCTTTGTAACAGAGAGGAATGTTCTTAGAATTGTGAAAGAGAAAAATAATTTATGACTAGCAAGCAACTAAGTCTTTCCTACCTCAGGAACTCATTCTTCAGAAACACAGTTTCTATGAACTTTGTGGTTTTCTTTCTTCCTTTCATCCTTGATCTAAAATGTTCAAGGCTATTCATTTCTTGGTAAATAAGAGTATATAGTAATTTTATTTGATGTTTATAGAACAACACGTATTTCTAAATATTTACAAGCTGGAGCAACCTTGTAAGGGAAGATTTTCTTGAATCAGAGTGAGGTTGTTTTCTTGGTTCTATTCAGCATCTACATTGACTAGTTCCATAGGCTGATAGCAGTTGTGTTGGTGGCTTTCACCACTGTCCATTACAGATTTTCTCTTTTGCATACCTTATTTCTTCCCTGTTCTTTTTTTTTAATTTTTATTTGTTGCTCATGGGACTGAACTCGGCCTGGGTGCTGTCCCTCAGCTCTTCAGCTTAAGGCTAGCACTCTACCACTTGAGCCACAGTGCCACTTCCGGGTTTTCTGCTTATGTGGTGCTGAGGAATTGAATCCAAGGCCTCATGGATGCATTGCAAGCACTTACCACTAAGCTACTTTCCCAGACTTCTTCCCTGAATGGGGTGTCACAAGAAGGAAAAAGTATAGTAGAATATTAACACATTCTAGCTAGAAAAAGGCATAAGGAGTCTAGAGTCCATGTTTGGCTTTGCTCAGTAGCAAACACATTGTACAAAGTTAAGAATATCTCCCTTGGTTTCACAGAAGCAATTGCCAGAATCCAGGTCTCCACCCTACCTGGCCAGAGCCAGTTAGGTAATTTCATGGGTGAATTTGGCATACTATTTTTTAAGAGGCATTTGCTTTCTGTTTTCATAAGGGAAAAACCAGTGTAACACATGCCTTCTTTCCTGACACTGTTTAGTTTCTGCAATTGTAACCTTGAAAGTATTGGCTAATTTTCAGTGAGGCTGTTGTAGGTCTATCCAGGCCCCAGTTCTTCTCTTGACTGCATTAAAAATTACATTAGTTTTATAAAACATTTACTTACCTTTAATTATAACCAGAAG